TCCTTACCCCAAGCTTTGTCTTGCCTAGCCTTACTCGGATGTCTCAGCTGCTGTGTTCCTCTAGCTCCACATTGTGTTAACTCTGACTCCAGCAATTGCAGTTCTTACTATCTCTGAGTGAGTTATAACATGCTCTTGTGCTCTGGACTCTGGACTCTGAACATATGCGTTTGACACGTGAATTTTCTCAATTTCTCTGAGTTAAGCTAGATAAAACAAGGCTTGACTTTGGAATAAAGTTGGTGAATGTCTCAGTGTGATGAATATGAAAGGGGACAGTTCAGATCGGATGAATTTATGAAAATAATGAATGCGCTACTCCACCTTACTTCACCAGTTTGTCTTGCTTAGTTTAAGCTGGCTAATTTCTCCACATTTGCATTTATTTCTCTTGGGACATTGCTGCTTCAGCAGCTTAATTCCATAAACCTACAATTTATTGTTTCCTTGATTCTGCTTCATTCCTTCATTTCACAATCAGAAAAAGGTAAGAATGAACCTTCCATCACAATAAGTGTGAGGTAGTTATTCTTGGTGGCGAAGGGCTACTAAATAATTCATTATTTGCAGTCAGCGAGGGAACTTCAAAACCAAATCATTAGTACCTTGAGTACCTCCTATTCCAAATTCCAATTTGATATAGGAATGCAGTATACTTTAGATACACACAAAGTAACTTGTTTTTTTCTTTTGGATAATGCACAAAAGATTTGAAATAGCAACATTGGTGCACCCTATAACTTTGATCCAGATCTTTCTTTCCCATTATAAAGGCCACTATTACCCTGGACCCAACAGTCTCAAACTAGTATTCTTTACAGAGCTATTTGTAGTTTAAAATGTTCCCAGTTGTGTAATTAGTCTTGGTCAGGAAACTAAACAGAGGTGATATCAAATCCCTGGTCCATATTATACCCTGTCCCATTTTATCTTCTAATGGAATGTTGAGAAAAATATTGAAGGAAGTGTAAACCGCATGGTTCATTCATGTTTCTGCCTGACACCAATTCCATTAACCCACTTCTAGGAAGTTCAATGGAATCTAATAGCACTTAATATGTCACGTTACACTTGAGAGCTAGGTTACAATTAGGTCACACCCAGTTCCTCCCTGGCAATTATCTTTTCTTTTATCCATTCATGGGATGTGGGCAATGCTTGCTGGGCCAGTATCTATTACCCGTGCCTAAATGTTCTTGACAAGGGTGCACGCCCCCTTCTTGAGCTGCTGTAAACCCTGAAGTAACCCATGTTGTCCAAAAGACTTTTGCCTCCCTTATGTGTTAAGTTGGCCCTGTCACAATTATTGTCCCCTCTGCATCCCAGTGTGCTGTCTCCAATTACCAATTGACTACCCCATTTCCCAACATAGTGGTGGATCACACTAACCCCTTGTAACTTTCAATGCACTTACTCACAGGCCTGACCATGGCATATCACTCTGACATGATATGGAAGGACAGTTCCAACTAATGATTACCAGACCCCTGACTGATCTCTGTGCAGCGCCCCTACTAACTTACCGCTAACCCCCGGCTGGTTGCTGGACTGTAATGATATAGAGCCCCTGACCTTGACCGCCGTGACCAGCAAGCTGCAGCCACCACATTCCCGCTCTGTCATTTTGGGAACTGTCGTCCCAGTTTCTCTCAAATTGTGGCAGAATAGCAAACTGCAAATAAATGGGGTGAGAATAGATAATAATGCAATGCTAATGCATGCTTGATGACTAAACTCTTCTTTGATCGCATGTATTTTTTCAACTGACTCACCACTTTCCACATTGTTCTGGGTTGAGAAAATTCCACCCATGTCAAGGGAAATCTTTCACAATATTCAGTTATCCATCACATTCCTAATACGTGCCTTGTTGGTGGCATCAAGTGGTGAAGTATTCACCTTGAAATTTTCAGCTTCTGACTTGTTCTTGTATGTAACCTGTATTTGTATGGTCGATCCAGTTTAGACTCCGGTCAATGATAAGACCCAAGATGCTGATGGTGCAGGATTCAGCATTGATAATGCCTTTGATAGTCAAGGGGAGACAGTTAGATACTTTTTGTGGAAGGTGGTCATCATACTTCACTTCAATGTCAAAATGAAGTTCTTATCAATCTTTATAAAGGAACTGACCCTCAATTTGACAATTGAATGAAATGCTTAAGCTAAAAGCAACAGCTTTAAATAAAACACAATATATCCAGAATTTGAATGGATGCCAAGAAGAAATATACTGAAAACTCTGGAACTTTTAGGGACCTTGGAGGGTAGCCAAACACCTGTGACACAAAGTAGATGGGAGGACTATTTGAATCATAAAAATTCACAAAAGGAACAGAATAAGCAAAGTGCTGAAACTTGTTTTTTTATGGGCATGCAATGAACAATGACAGCCTTCCCTTTCTGCTACAGAGACAAGTTATAATACAACATGCAGATATCACAAAAACACGCAGACAGAGCAGCAGCCATCTTAGCACACAAGAAAAAGTCGAGTTCTAGTAGAATTCCCCTTCAAGGTTGAGATAGGTGAATCTAATGAGATTATTCTGGATTGTGAGTATATTTTTCTTTTAACACTATTTCCTTGATTTTAGAGTTGGATTTAAACATTGTGTATAGATGTAAAGTAGAGTAGTTATAGTACAATTATTTCTGATGTGCTACGATATAGTATTGATTCCTATAATATAGTTGTGGAATTGATTCTTACAATAAATATTCCATAAGCAAGTATGAATTGCAATCTCCTGTCTAAATCTTTATAAGCCTGCATTTATAAAAAAATTTGCTATAATTCCTAAGTTAATATTCTAAGTGCTCATGTTGGTAAATTTAAGAAAAATTGGTTCTGCTGCAGTATACCTATGGATATATTCTATCTGAGATAATTTTGTGGGTTTAAAGACTTCAAGGAGAAAGGACATTTTATTGCAAGACCAAGTCTGTAACCGGTAAAGCAAAGTTTCTATAATTAGATGAAATTTATCACAGTTGAAGTTTTAAGCTGACAATCAGTTTGACTGGGGAGGTTTACCTGGTCAGGTGAAATAGTTAAAACATTAACATCTTTACCTATCATATGCTCCCATTGCTTTCCCCAAAGTATTCAAGCACTGCAGAGTAGTGGGCGCCTGATGATACAGGTTCTGCACTCAATTTCTAATCCTTCCATAGCCCATTCCGTTCCATTTAAACTGATGATCAAAGATTATGTGTTGGTGTAACTGTCAAATCAGCAATGTAATTTTCTCTCTGCTGTTTGACTTATTAGAAAACTTAAAAGATGGATACAAACACAGGTCAAACTGTTTCAAAGCATGACTGGTTTAGTTGAGACAACAAGGTGCAGGGCTGGATGAACACAGCAGGCCAAGCAGCATCATAGGAGCAGAGAGGCTGA